GTGGCATAAGGATTGTATTCAAGGGGTCACAAAGGGGCCAGAAGTAAAGCTGATGGTTTGGGCTTGCATCTGAGGTAAAATTAAGAGTCTCCTGATTTCTATTTTTAACAAGAGTGTGGATAGATTTGTATATATTAGAGTTTTGGAGGATGGCTTCGTTGATGTCTGGCAGGAGGTAGAGGACACAGTTGGAGATCCTATCTTTCAGCAGGATAGTGCAAAGATACATACTGCAAGAGATACCATGGCTTGGTTTGCAGAAAACAACATACAGGTTATGGAATGGCCTCCCAATTCCCCAGACCTCAATCCTGGCCTATTGAGCCCTGTTGGAAGAGGGTCAAGGGAAAGCTGCATCAGCACTTTCCTAACATTCACAAGACTAAGGGGGGTCCTGATACAGTTAGAAAATGTCTAGCAGAAGCTCTAAATCAGGTTTGCGCTTAGGATATTGAAGGTGAATTTTTGGAATGCTTGTGGGAGTCTATGCCTAGGACAGTGGCTGCTGTTTTAGATGCAAAGGGATGGTATACAAAGTATTGATTTTTGTTCTCTATAATTTCATAGGAAGGCTTTCTTATATGTACTGGATATATATCCAAATTTTCAGTTTATTCTAAGCAGTTGTGGTTGCATAGGTAGTAAATTTGTTGTGGTGGTGCAGTTGCCATTGACGTGCCGGATGAAAAGATTTGTACCCCTACTTTAGTTTGGTTTTGGATTTTTCTAGCTTGCTGGAGGTTGCGGAGGATCATGACTGGGTAAGATGATATGTTGCTTTTGAGTTCGTTGTTTTTCCATGGTGGTTTTTGCTTTGGAGATATATATCTCTTAGTCAGTCCTTAGCTGGCTCGACCATCGGTCACCGTTTCCACCACTTCTGTCCTCTCATTCCACCTCTCCTCAACCCTCATTTTTTCACTTCACCGCTGTGTATTTTTGAGTTGTTTCTTCGAGGCGAACCAGAAGCTACAATATCCTAACACCACCCACGCTCATCTCCACCCCCACTTCTTTTAATCCGTGCCTTTCCGTTCCAAGATACAACCTGGGGACCTCAATGCTGAAATGCAGACAATATCAACAGCTTAGGTAGTGAGTATCCCCCACTTCTAATACCGATCACAGTAATCCCTTCCCCTGGGCAATGAGGGCCGGGGTGAAATATCGCACACTGATAATAAAAATACCCAGGGTATTTAAATGCCGTTACTCTTTCGCCCTGAGAATGGCACCTGGTTCAACTGCCGAAGTATAAATCTTCCGTGGTTGGGGAGATACCGAACACACCCTAAGAGAAACACGACGAATAAAGAAGCAGGAACACTTCGTTCTTTATTATAATACGATAATCACCCCTCGGTTCCCCTATGGGTCGCGGCACAAGGATCAGTAAGGGGAAAGGGAGACTGGGATTTCAGGTGGTCGAGAGCAATCGAGTGAGATTTTATGACCGCAGGGTCTTTCTGCGTCGTATTTATATAAAAAAGGTCACCTTGTATGACTCTGAAGGTGGCATTGTTGCTTCAGCGCACACCATGCTCGTGCCAAAATCCAAATTTAACTCTCGTGCCCTCTTGCATTCCCGTCATAACTGGTAACAATGGTCACAGGGTAGAAATGCATGCTTCATTCTAGGACGCAGACACCCCAATTTCCCACTCGGGACATTCCACAGCAGTCTCCTCTAACATATGCCCAGTGTCGCTGTACCAGTCTCCCGTCCTGCGCCTGCTACTTACTCCCTACCAAAGGCTTCCCCAACACCCGGGGCAACACCTACCCCATCTCCTAACCGAGGGACCGACAAAGCACACCAATTGCTAGAGCGGATACAGCGATAGAAGGTGGTCCAGGAGGTAAATATAGGCTCAATTATTTATGCAATGTACTGTAGCCAATTGCGCAAGGAGACGTAACGTGCCCGGATGGCTGGGAACATTTGCTGGAAATCACGAGGTGCTGTTGCTCGGCATACCCTCATAAGTTGTTTTCTTTGTTCGGATAGCTTTGGGAACCCACTTCGGCTTTAGGCACCTTTTGGCTTTCTCCGGGAACCCATGTTGGCTACAGGAATACACTTTAGTTTTGGATCACTGCATCCGCCCGAAGGAAAGCCTAAAAGCCAGACAACCAACAACCAGTGGGCCGGAGGTTGTGGACAGTGGTAGTTTGTCTTTCCATTGTTAGCACGGGAGTTAGAGCGAGGGGAAGGGGAGGCATACGAGAAATATCATGGACGTGTGTGGTAGTCAATGGAAGGATAAGAGGACCCCGTGGCCGACGTGTGCTTCCGTCTTTACCGTTATCTAGTTAGTGAGGAAGGCGACGAAGGAGCACAGAACTTCCCCGCTCGTGAGTTCTGCGATCATTTTCGTTAGTGAACTCTTGGGGTTTTGCTTTAGCCCTTTCGCCCTTGCTATCGTTTTCGTCGATCCAGGTTTAAATAGGTTGAGGTTTGTGAATGTGGGTCTGAATGCACGAGAGGCCATATACTCACGACTAAATCCGCGTTATAGAGATATTGACGATTCAATGCAAGCGCTGATACCCAGGGTACCGGCCGGATTCCGTGCTGCACTTGGACAGTTGTTTATATCCTTACGAGGGCAAAAAAGGCGGAATTTCCTGAACTGAAAAAATTCTCGGCAGCAACCGTCGCGCCGCTCCAGAATAGCCATGATACTATGATGGAGCGATGCTCTAGCCCATGGGCTGAACCTTGGACCACCAGTAATATCATTGCTGCTCTAGAACCTGCTTCGATCCTCCTGTCTCACATGGCGAGGAACAAGAAAACCCCCGCCTACTACTACAACACACCATCTGCTAGCTCAGAAGATCAGATTTCCTTGCTTGTAACCCAAGTTTTGGCCTAAGGCGCGTCAGATTTTATGGTGTTTTATCGTTTTCTCCACTACAAGTTTATTTGGCGGCAAGAATGAAAGGTACTGGAGAGTACGAAGCATGAATTAAATTAATACACTGATACAAGGTGACTTAATATCAGCCATAATATACCCGGCCAGTTACGGATCCTCTTGAAACAGCAGGTGCGTGGCCATTGTCCCGAAAAACTCCCACATGCCGCCTGTCCAAGAAGTTTGCTCCTCCTTCAACTGATGACATCGCACAAAGGAACCACTAGTTTATCTTCATGCAGTGAACAGCTATATCATCGGAATGGCGGGAGTCCGCGATCCCCTTCTAATATTTAACTCCAGCATCACTTCCAATGCTGGGAGCGATAACATAGTTGGTGCGGTGAATAGCGATATTACTCCAATGACCGTAAACCGCCACTTACTCCACACCCCAAGCGAAACGAGATCGCCCCATTCTTGAAATCTCGCCCAAGCGAAGGCGGGTCATGTCATTTTCAGGAAACGGGGTATCCGACCAGTTAGGTACTTGCACAGACGAACCTACCGTCGCCGGCTATTTTTCACAAGGTTTACGCAAAACAGTTCGGTATGCCCACCCAGGATAAGACAATAACAGAGCACGGTACTAAATGGTTGGAATAAATGCCAGAGAGACTAGTTTAAAGATAAACAAAAAAACAGCAAAATAGAACTGAACGAGTGATTAGACACAGGTGACGAGGAAATAGAGATGAACCGACACTAAATAAATAACCAATAAGGGAAAGCAAGTACCAATACTCTTTGTCCTCTACAAACTATACGGATCCTAGCCCGCCTGCTCCCATGGTGCGTCAACCCCTCAGCGAGGCTCTCTCGTGCCATGATGCTATTGTCCTAAGGCTACCGAGTCCGTATTGTTGCGCAGCGCAAGATGGTACCACCGAGGAAATGACCCCCCGGTGGTGGCATCGCGCTACGGAGCTAGACGGGGTAACAGGTAGTCGGAGTCTTGAAGCGGTCATGCCAGGGCCAAGCGGCAGGCCCGCAGTAGGACAGGCACGCCCCCGGCAGGGGTATTATTATTATTATTATACCGGTATATCATTAAGCTTGTAGAGCCGTAGGGCTATGAAGCTGATAAGTATACAATATGGCAGGGACTCAACTGCCTGTCAGATATTCCGTCTCCCACGGGCCCTAGCAGCCTTTGACCAAATACCCGAGTTCAGAGGCTTACCGGAGCATGCTTCTTGTCTCATTCTCAGGTTTATCTGCCTTAATTTCTCTCGCCATTTCTCTCTCTCTGCCTCTCTCGCGCCCTCCGACTCCTGCATCTGCGTTGCCCAGCTCGCTTCCCTCTCTTCTACCACCTCCATCACCTCTGGCACCTCAACACCTTCTGTCACCCCCATCGCTCCCCAGCAGGGGTAATCGGTAACGTTGTCGCATTGGTCGTTAACTTGCGTGCCTGTCCCATAGGAGCGCACGAGGGAAAGCCCACAGTACGAGTACCGTACGGTAGTAGTGATACAGTGAATAGCTGTTCTGCCCATCCGGGTTCCTACTGAACCCTTCCCACAGGAGTGCCAAGGCTCCCGCCACCTCGAAGCGGTACGTACCGGCCCAAGGGGTGGAATTAGTGATAATGAACTAAGGCCCTAGGGCTCAGATTTATAAACCCCCCCTTATGAGCCTGAAGGGGTCCACAAGTTCCACAAAAACACCCTATGATAACCCGATTGAAACTATGCTATAAGCGGAGATAATGATGCTCAAAAAGATGCCCAATCCACGACACAGGTAATTTCTCCACCGCCCCCAACACTACCCCAACCTGCTGTACAGAATTACCTTGGTTGCAGGCCCAGCTACGGGGAATTCGTACAGAAAAGTGTGTGGTAATAAAAGCCAAGAAATTGGCCCTAAATCTGCCCTAGGAACGCCCCCTAAAACTGCGTTTGGTGAACCCCCTTTGAACTCCCACCTCCCTGGGCCCCGCCAAGGACTCTGTGGAAGGATTTCTTGGGAGGGGCGTCAATTTCGAAAGTGGCTTCGACCTGCCAACTGGCGGTCATGCGGATCTAGAGCGAGTGGTCGGCAAGGGCCCATGCCCAACGGGCGGCGGGACGAAAAATATCACTTGTCCAGATCTGGTGTCTGGGGGGATCGCGCTCAGTAACTTGTGTGCCCTACATGCCTCAAGAACCTCAACCAACCGCAGCGCTCGGCCAGACTAACTATACAAGAAAAATAAGCAGCTCCATATACAGGCTGCTAATGAATACCGGCGGAAGGAACTGCATATCCGTTGCTGGGTATGAATATGAGTGGTCAACCGCTCCCGCACCCCGTGCTATTAAACTTTAAGGATATTTAATCGATCAAACTACCATACCTGCCAACATCTTTCACGAACATTATACAAGAGACAGAATACAAGGAAAAATCCCGAGTTACGACAACAGTCAGCCACCCACCCAGAAGTTCGAAACCCCATTATGGTGTTTCCCTTCCCTGACCTCCAGTCCCTCCGTCCTGCGGAATATCTTCCACTGTCAAAACCACGTCTGTGGTTTTCATTATCCCCGAATCCCCACCAATGATATGTTCTTCACTATCCCCTTCGCCAAACCCGGCCCTTGACCCCGTGGTTACATTGGCGGATCTCTGAAATCTCTGCATATCATAGCTTTGCCCAACCGCATATGAGGGTGGGTCTTTATAAGTACCCTTAGTGCTACCAAGGAGGACAGGCACGTAAAGGCGGAAAAAGGGCTTTAGCGCAGGGCCACACGCTGCTATTATAATGAAGGCTGCTTCGACATAGTACCAAATCATGGCACTCGCAATCTCCCCTAAACACCCAAGTCAACCCCCTTCCAAGATTGGAACGAAACCCGGAAGAAAGAGATACGCACAGGTTACGTCTTTGCTTAAATGGGGAGCCGGAAGCTCCACGACACGAATAATCCCAGTAGCGCATACACTGCAGAACAAGGTTAACTACTCAGCCATGGGATGGTATCCGAAGACTCACAATCCCCCAAGGCTAAATAGCGCACAAAGACCCCATTTCTGTCTCTTAGGCAGCTCTCTATCCACACGCGTTAGTAACAATAAAACATCCCTGGCCCCCTTACTAGATGGCTCACAGTTTAGACAAGATGGGTAGGGGTAAAACGGTCACCACCACATCCGCAAAAATATACAGGGCGGAATTGATGTAATAGAGGAGCTCCAAGTCCCAGCAATACCCACCAGGAGTGGATTTATCCCAATAATAGCTAACTGGCCGACAATGCAAGTAGAGAACCAATTCACTCCCGGCGCCCGTCAGGACAACGAATACCATGGTGGCAGTTGTTGCCAACTTAAACCAGTAATGGTGGCCCATAACCCGCGTGTAGAAAGTGAGGACAGAGAGTTTAGCAAACATCGCTTGCCAGTTGTAACTAAACATGGTGCCCCAAGTTGCCTAGCAGGAGGTTAGCCCGCGCAGGCGAAAGAAATGATGGGTGGACTGGTACCTTCATGAATACGACGAACTCTTGAGGGGATACTGTTTCTATATGGGACCCGATGCCATTGGAGGCTCCTACGATGGTAGGATGTAGTTAGCCAAGTTCAAACGGCAAGGAGGAGGGGTAGAGGGGAATGTACCGATGAGCAAGCAGACAAGAAAGGAAAACGCGAAGAGCTATTGCAGACCAAGCTATATCAGTGGCGGCTCCGTCCCAATAAGCGGCAACAGAATATCAAAGAAATACAGACCTGCGCAATAACAATCAGAACTATTTTATTCGAAATTGGGATGTCAGCTATCGCCCCACTTCCTCTTTTGGAAATATTAGGGATTACCATCGTCAGCTCCCCAGACCCGTACAATCTTCACTCGTGTGAAAACTCTAAGCGCCGTCACCACAAAACTGATCACCCCCACGATCAGTGCGACCGCAAACACCATGTGCGATTTGCTTTCCTTCATATCTTCTCTTCCGGCTAATTCGACTGCGGCCCCGGATATCAGGGACACCAGTGACTAGATATACTTCAAGGAGGGGCAGAAAAAAAAGGAAAGAGAGCTAAGTTAGACTCTAGTACTCGAGTAGGCTCTCCCCCTTTTCGGTCGCGGCCTGTGAAACTCATGTCTCGACTTGATTCCGTCAAAGGCCACCCCCCGGGGCCTCCCGTTTATGGGGATGCATACGCATCCCAAAGCCGCGGGATTTTTCGAAAAGAATACCGGTAAAGTTTCATGGCTCCTTCTCTTTGGAAACCGCTTGGATCGGTAACTTAACAGAGATGCAGGAGAGCGTGGTCAGAGAATTTGTGTGGCTCGCTTACGATGCTGCAGCGCTCGTTCCTCCATTCATGGTAACCCATCGGTACTTGTACGCTGACACCACTCGAAAAAATCTGACAGCAGCTCCTCGAGAATCGCTCACCCGAGACACGGGATACGAGTGCTTGTGGAGGACAGCACCCGCACAATCCAGCTTCACAAGCTCTGTGGATGTCATGCGCTTATGCCCCAGGACTTGTACAGTACAGGACAGGTACTAGTACTCGAGTACCGGTACAGTAAGAACCCGAATGCCGGCAGCTGACCAATATGCCAGGGCGTTCGAATACCCCTGCTCGGCTAACTGAGGAGCAAACACCGCAAAACTCAGCCCTCGGTTGAGACACAAGACACAACAAATAGCGCAGTTTCTGGATCGAACTTAGGTTTTTTCGGTGGTATCATACCCTACGCTCCCTTAATGAACCGTAAAAATTAAAAAATTAAAAAAACGCAACCCCATTCCGGCCACCTGAGTGCACCGCACGACCTGCTCCTGCCTGGAGAAGTAACCACGGCGTCCCAGAACATTTACGAAGTATCTTCCACTCAAGTATTTTCCGTATGCTCCTCCCGAGGCTAAGCTAGCAAGCGAAGGCTTCGGCCCAACAGTAGCAGAATTTTGATTGTTTTACACCATGAGAAGTTACCCCCCCGCCAGTCTCTCAAACGATGCAAGAGCTTCCAGAACACTGGTGATTGATGTACGGTACTGTACGAGTACATAGATGATAGATAGACTACCGGTAGGGTACGGTACCGGGGGCTGGAGGCAAACAGAGGGATACACCCCGCCCGCGGTCCCACCAGAAATACAAATACCCGTAGGGCCGTTACCTGGTAGATCTTTTCCGCTATCCACCTGTGCATCAGCCGGTTGTGAGCCCCAGATTTTGCCTTTTTTCTCCAAACCCTGACACGCTGTCCCGAGGCTGGTGGGTGGGGGCAGGTTGAGTCCTCCGTAGGGTGTCTATCTCCGATGCGGCCGAGAGGCCCGGCCTGCCAATCCCGAGAGCCGTGAGACAGCACTGTGCCGGTACAGTACCTCTACGGCGATTCCCAGCGACCGAGTGGTTATCCCTTCGTCCCCGAGACAAGATTATCTCCTGGACTACCGTTCGGGAACCTTAAAGGTTTCTCGCCGTCCCTGTCGTCATTAGTAAGCAGCGCTGCTGTTCGTTACAAGAACTTCGTAGACGCGCACACTTCGGGATGCCGGTTACTACTGTACAAGTACCGGTACGCTGAGAACGAACCAGAACTACAGCCATAACCCCAAAGCATGTTGTCTTAGGCCATGAGAGGAGTGGCGTTGTGGCAAAGATTTCAAAACCCTCGGCGCCCTACTGATAGGTCAATAGTCTAGGGTTTACATATAACGAACCAATGGGCCTCTACTCGTACTAAACCGGCATCCGTCCCCACGGAGATGCTGGTTGGGGCATCTCACCTATGATACCGAGGAAAGCAGGCATTACAATACAAGTACGAGTAAATTTAGAGGACCACATTCCGCACCCACTAAAATCACTATACCGTTACCGGCATGTGTAAAACTCGGGAACGAACGAAGGGGTTGGACCGCTAGCGCTCATGTACGAGTACTAGTACTCGTACTCGTACAGTACCGGAAGCTGGGTCCGTGGAGCCGTGGATCACATGCAATTCCGGTTCCCCCACTGGTGGCGTAGTGTACGACACTCAGATCAGCAAACTGTGCACAGAAATTTAAAAGTTTAACACATTGCTCCACCCTGGCCAGTCTGGGAGCCACACTTGGCATTTTGTGGTTTTGCACGAAATCGCCCACCAGGGCCTCCCTCATGGGGGGGGGGGGGCTGATGGTGCTCTCTGATGAAACTTCAATGCTTTCATTAATTTTGTACTTGTACCGGTACTCGAGTACTCGTACAAGTGCTTATACTACAGTCTTCACAGTACCCGATTTAACAAGATAATGAAATGAAGTCTTCACCGCACCTACGACTGGGTGGGTGACCAACAGGGGTACCGGTATGATCAGCAAAGACCTAATCCACCAAAGTAGGGTAACAAAATTAATGGACCCTGATCCCTGTTCGTCGCCAGCCCAGTTTCGTCGTGAGAGCACAGCGTGGACTGTGCTACGAGTACTAGTACGAGTACATGCCATCCAATACTCAAGAACAAGACCCCTACCCTACACTACAGGGTCATGTATCAAAGTGCCGCTCTGATGAACTTCTGAGCTCTCGAAAACTACAGCAATGCCGGCACCTGTGGTACGATGGCATCCCTTATGTCATCCATACGTCTTTGTGCGGCAGGTGCGATATCAGACACGTGCAAAAAGCATTTGCGGGTACCTGTGGGGGAGCGCGCTGTACTCGAATACTCGAGGATCGGCACAAGTACCGGCGTGGAAGTGTCGCGTGGAAGTGTCGCTGTTGACTTCCGGGGTTTGGATCCGTAGTGTGTTTGACCGAGCTGGCGCCTGTGACTATGCAATATGCTAGAGGATACTCTGTTGAGGGTTGATGGGAAAAGGTCACAAGTGGAATAAGTTACAGAAAGTGCTTGTATTGAGTGCCTAGACACCCAGAAAGCGCAACCCCAACCCAGTAAACCTATCCTTCCACACCAGTGCCCGTGCACACACACAAACACCGCAAGGAGTTAACCTGGTTCGAAAGGGAGCGGACCCGACCTGACAGAAGCTTAGTGAAATACGGTATTCAATGCTTCCAGAGCCCGGGCTAGCCCAAGCAACCCGCTGGGCTAAGGGGAAACGAGCTAAAGTGGACACGGTACCGGTACTCGAGTACGGTACCTATGGGTATTAAACAGATTTCGATAAAGGGGCTGGGTAATTTGATCCTATTCTCACTCCGCCCATCTTCTGCCCCTGCAACATTCTCCCGTAGACTCCACGCCTCAGCTAAGTTACTACGGGACCGCTACTGTAGTTTCCCCTGGACCCCCGGACCGGTTCCTGAGCTTGCTCGGCGCACTTGGAATTTGATGGTTGCTCCTCCTAGATGACGAAGCGCGTCTCCGGTGGGTTGCTAGATTTTGGTGCACTAGTGTATAAGCTACCGTACTTTTGTGAACATCGCATACATCATGAGTACTGTACAGGTCACGTACTCGAGTATAGGATTGAAGGTTTAGTGCTTGTACCAACCTTACTTTCTGGAATACGGACTTATCCATCACCACTCATTATCTGTCTTTCAATCGGGAGACCCCGCAGGTCCCCATGCCCCTAATAATAGTATCGGATAGTTTTCCTCCTGCTAGTTTCTAGTGTGGTATCCATTTGGTGGTAGTGAAGGATTTCCGTCCCATCCGTGCATCTGGCTGTAACAGCGTTTGGGGTATCATCATGGCCAGATCTTAGAGCAGCAGAAGACCAGGGATACGATTGGGGTCCGTTAGATAAATGGATGGTGGACCTGATTGAACACTACTGATAAAAGACCTTGAAGATACGTTCGTAGATAAATTATGATTAATCAAACGTGCAGTTTGGGAACCAAACCAATAATTTAGAAGCGAAAAGAAATTAAATTTTCGGAGCACCGGTATGATACCTGGAGCAAGAATACTGGTTGCGGATTCATTCTCATGTACGAGTTCGGTAAAATTTATAAGCGCGATGCAGAATGGGTTTGGCGGTTCTTGGTCGTGTCTTGTCGCGCGGGGCCTTAAGTTACCCCATAAAACTTTCAGTTTGGGAGGAGACTTACTCGTAGCAGGTGGAGAATTTTCACCCACCAACACACCTCAACCTTCCTAGCTAGATATCGACTAACACAGACAAGAATACACCCCATCAGCAAGCCTTTCGACGAGGTGTGTTTGTCCTCTCTGTTGGGCCTCGCTTTCTTCTCTCCTTCGGTGACCTTCTGGATCTTATTATGCCATTATGTTTTCCAGTCAATTTTCCACCACCAATTTTGCAGTTCAACATCGGGTCCCAAGTAAGTCAACGTCCATAGGCGGGGCCCGGTCCAAACACCGTCTGACAACGGGAGTTACGAGTAAGTTAACTGACACACTCGCACGCAGGCAGTGAGCTTTCGAATTTGGATTTTGAAACGAGTGAGAGATCGAGATGACAAGCTACCAGGAGTTTCGCGTCTCGCATAAAATATATTTTTACTTCGATAACCTTCGGGCGCCTTGCAGCCTCTCGGAAATGGGGGTTTCCTATCCCTTATTCCCAAAACGGCGACATGACACTGTTCCCTGCGGGGGATCCTCCCCCGGGGTGCAAAGTTGAGCGGGGAGAGCGTGCTTCCAGTCGTCCAGTCGACGCCCGTCTGACTTTGGTAGTCTTACTCCGTCCAGGATGACGCCAACCCCATCGGCACTGGCTTGGCATTGTCCTGGACAGGGTGGACTGGCACCGACTACTGTCCGACAGTGCTGGGAGACTATGTTATTACCTTTTTTTCTCGGCAAACCCCTTTTCAAATTTCTATCTCGCCTTTCTACTTTCCCTTTTCTCTTTACTCCTCTTCCTCCGGTTCCTTTACACCTCTTCCTCCAGTCTCTTTGCTTCCCCTTCAGCCCTCTCAGCCCCCTTACCCCCTCCTCTCTTCTAGCTCCTCGATTTCCCTTCCTATTCAGCCCTATTATTACCTTCTTTCTCCTATTTTTTGCTTTGTCTATTCTTGAATTCTTGTATTTTAGGGTAAATACTCTAAGACTGGGTTGGACAACCTGTAAGAAAACAATTATAGATAATTTTGAATGAGTGGGAGACAAACAGGATTCTATGGCAATAGGACAATCAGAAAACTAACCAAGTAACTAGCTGTATATGATGGGGCTCCCCTAAGAAGATGGATTCTAAGGTTGTAACTGCACCAAACTTGGAAACTCGCAAACACAGCTCTTGCAAATGTAAAGAATAGAAGTAAACAGTATAACTTAATATCATTAAGCTGTCTTCTGGTTAAGTTCTGACTCCCTGAATTGTGAACTTAGAAAGCCTACAATGCTCCCTCAGAGAGTTGTGGCGGTGGCCAGATTCCATGGGTACTACCCATGGTTCCTTATCCTTGGCACACTACTTACTATGATAAGAATCATAATTTTAGAGTCCTCAAATGACCTACAAGGAGCCTATGGCAAAGGGGCACATGTAGGCTTGATTGACA